CATCAATCACCTCTCTGTGTTTAGCCAACAGTGTGAGATGGCTTTTAGCCTCGTGCAGCACCTCTGTCATGTTTAAACTAGGGCCGGGACTCGATTAAAAAAATTAATCTAATTAATTAGAGGCTTTGTAATTAATTAATCGAAATTAATCGCATTTTTAATCGCATATACATATTTGACCTAAGAACAGTGAGAAGCAATTTTTTTTCACATGGATTTTAGTATACCATTAGGCGCATTCACACCGCAGTACTTTTCCCACAAAGGTTCATGAGAATTTAGTTCATGAGAACTCTTTGAACCTGGGGGTGGATTAGGCAAATGAAGCCGCTGACGTCACTTCTTCTTCTTCTGCTTTGGGTTTACTGGCAGGCCGCAAACCACTTCACGGCGTATACTGCCGCCCAAAGTCCCCGGCCGGAAGTCCCCGGAGTTGGGGACTGGCTTCAGTAGAAGCTGCTGGGAGTCCCAGCAGCTTCTACTGAAGCCTTCCGAGTAAATCGCCAGAACGCCGACACCTCCTCATCTCCACCGCTCCCATGTTTTATTTTGTGTTGCCATAAGTTAGTCTCTCTGCGTTGGGCTAATGCTAATAATGCTAATGCGAGGATAATAAAATGGCGGCTTCACAAAACTTTTTGGGAGTTTTACGGGGCGTGGTTTGCAATCCGCCCAGCCAATCAGAAATATAGCTCTTTTCTCACAAGAGACCCGCACGAAAGTCCCTGCTCTCTAGCAGCTCTCTGCTCTCTATCAGGGACTTTCGTGGGGGTAAAAAGGTTCTCATTAACTAATTTTAGTACCGGCTCTTTTTGGTGTGAACGCGATAAAAGAGGCTAACGTCCACGCTGGCTTCCACGCTAGCTGCTATATGTTTTGCATTGAGGTGATACTTGAGGCTTGATGTGCTGCGGTGATATGCGAATTCCTTTTTGCATAATTTGCACACAACCGTGCTCTTATCAACGCTTCCATCCGTCCGTTTTTTAAAACAACATTTCCCACTGTTGTTCACTGTGGTTTGTTGTTGTCTGAAGTCATGAACGTTAGTTGGTGCTCCAGTATAATCGGTACGCCTGAAACTCATCCAGTGAGAAACGTTCCACGGTGCAAAAATAAGTGCGATTAAAATGCGTTAATTTTTTTAACGCGTTAATTTTTGTGTAATTAATTAATCTTAATTAACGCGTTAAAGTCCCGGCCCTAGTTTAAACATGAACAGATCCCTCCTGTTTACTTTCTACTCTTTCTTCATAAACTCAAAAACACAATTAATGTCTACTAATGATATTACAAAAACTCCCTAATGACAAATACCACAAAATTCACAATGCAATGCAATAGTAACAATCAGTTCTCAAAACTTCTCATGAAAACCACAATGTGACGTAACTGCATCCCACAAAAACTATGCTAAAAACGACAAATTATAGTTTCTTATTTATTTAAATATCTACGACACATTGATCTATTAATTTTCAATGTTATTCACTCCAACTTCAGACCAGTCGTTGATTATTCACTCCTTGTTTTAAATTCAACGCTCAGCAGCCATTTTTGAGGCATTTTGAGAAGAAGCACAAGCAGTCACACTTCGGGCTGCTGCTTCAGCAATTAGAGGAAAGCTGTGAAGAAAAAGGGGGGCTTTCTTTAACCCATGGTGACCACGCATTTCTTTATCTAACTTTTCTCCCTTATCTATTAGTAATTATTCACAGAAAATTATTCCCCGTACAGTCTATCCAGCGTTATGGTGCGATGTTTATTTCAACAGATAATGGACGTTCAAACGCTCTTTGACACCGCTTTTCAGCAATGTGGCATTATTATGGGGCCTCATTATCTCTTTATCGTCACGTTTGGCCAGATAGATTAACCCCACAGAACAAGAGAACGAGATTCCGGTCCTTTCAAAATGGTTATTTGAAATTTGCGTAACTCTTCTTGGATTCACTTATAATGCAACTGCAGCTCATATGAGACTGGAAAACATTATTCAATTTTGTTCTGGATGGAATCATTAGAAACCACTGAACTCCCCGGATGAGTTAGCCGTGTCGATTTCTGAAAAAAACGCACGGGGCCTTTCACCTTCATCTTACACTCCTCATCGCTTCACGTGTAGCTAACGAGTTAGTCGTGCGATTCTGAAAAATCCACGAGGTTCCTAATCGTTGCTTTATTAATCTTATTATTATTAGTTAGTTACCTACCTATGCTAAAATATGCATTGCATTATCTTTAGCGTGAAGACTAGACACTGAGAAATATTCCTGACAACTCTAAAAAATTTGAATATAGCCAAATCACAGATTTTGAGTGTAACGGGTATCCGTGCTTACCTGATATTTTGTATAGAGCTCTGTTTTTAGTTGTCAGAAAGTATTTCGAGGTGTCACCCCTGGACAGCTTCGTCCGCTGGCTGCTGATGTGACTCCCTCTGAACGCCCACTCGTAAACGTCTGGGTCACCACTTTGTTGGAGTTTTGAGGTTTTTACAACCCCACTCTGCTCCGCGTGTCGTTTTGACGAGTCCTGCTTAAAATCATAACAGGAAGGAAATCAGACAGAGAACACCCGGATACCAGTTGAAACAATAATCTGTTTTAATTATCAAAGGTAATAATGCAATGCAATATAATACATTACAATTAGGGCCGGGACTTTAACGCGTTAATTAAGATTAATTAATTACACAAAAATTAACGCGTTAAAAAAATTAACGCATTTTAATCGCACTTATTTTTGCACCGTGGAACGTTTCTCACTGGATGAGTTTCAGGCGTACCGATTATACTGGAGCACCAACTAACGTTCATGACTTCAGACAACAACAAACCACAGTGAACAACAGTGGGAAATGTTGTTTTAAAAAACGGACGGATGGAAGCGTTGATAAGAGCACGGTTGTGTGCAAATTATGCAAAAAGGAATTCGCATATCACCGCAGCACATCAAGCCTCAAGTATCACCTCAATGCAAAACATATAGCAGCTAGCGTGGAAGCCAGCGTGGACGTTAGCCTCTTTTATCGCGTTCACACCAAAAAGAGCCGGTACTAAAATTAGTTAATGAGAACCTTTTTACCCCCACGAAAGTCCCTGATAGAGAGCAGAGAGCTGCTAGAGAGCAGGGACTTTCGTGCGGGTCTCTTGTGAGAAAAGAGCTATATTTCTGATTGGCTGGGCGGATTGCAAACCACGCCCCGTAAAACTCCCAAAAAGTTTTGTGAAGCCGCCATTTTATTATCCTCGCATTAGCATTATTAGCATTAGCCCAACGCAGAGAGACTAACTTATGGCAACACAAAATAAAACATGGGAGCGGTGGAGATGAGGAGGTGTCGGCGTTCTGGCGATTTACTCGGAAGGCTTCAGTAGAAGCTGCTGGGACTCCCAGCAGCTTCTACTGAAGCCAGTCCCCAACTCCGGGGACTTCCGGCCGGGGACTTTGGGCGGCAGTATACGCCGTGAAGTGGTTTGCGGCCTGCCAGTAAACCCAAAGCAGAAGAAGAAGAAGTGACGTCAGCGGCTTCATTTGCCTAATCCACCCCCAGGTTCAAAGAGTTCTCATGAACTAAATTCTCATGAACCTTTGTGGGAAAAGTACTGCGGTGTGAATGCGCCTAATGGTATACTAAAATCCATGTGAAAAAAAATTGCTTCTCACTGTTCTTAGGTCAAATATGTATATGCGATTAAAAATGCGATTAATTTCGATTAATTAATTACAAAGCCTCTAATTAATTAGATTAATTTTTTTAATCGAGTCCCGGCCCTAATTACAATACAATATAATATACTACAATTATATTGTAATGTGTAAGGAGTATGCCGGCCCACTCCTGCCCTGGTTCGCGTGCTGCGGAGATCCTTCCGGTCCTGACAGCATGTGAAGAGAGGCCGAACGTCAGGAATCGACAGGAGATATACCAGAATAGAGAAGGAAGGGGTTAGGTCAGCTGGTCATCTTTTCAGGTCATCTCATTGGGAGACGCAAAATATGCTTTGACACAGTGACCCAGCGCTGACCAGCAGAAAACCAAACAGGCCCATTTTACAACAAAACACATCTTATCACCCAAGTCATGTGTTTCTTTATGAAAGCCATACTTGTTGGAAATATAACAGTCATTATCCCATGACATCCTCAGAACTAGCTCACCAACAACGCCTAACTGTCTTCATACCCCCCAATCATCTCTGAACTTTTATTCACCCGAAGTCAGCTCACCCATAATCTAGAAGGACCATTGTCTCTCTTAACTGTGTGACTATATTCTCAAGGCCTGCAGGATGCGCATAATTAACTTAGGAAGAATTTAGCCATTATATCTAATGGTTAACCAAGAAAAACACTCAAAAGGGTAATCTTTTCACTCAAAACAGAATTCACAAGTAATTCTGCATTTTACCCCTCAAAAATAGCCTAAAACACCCCTTTGATAAAAAGGGTAAAAGTGAAAGAAAAAGACTATTGCGCTAATCTACTTTTAAGAAAAGGGAACATTGTTTCAGGAATCTATAAAAACCTCTCTATATTTAAGAGGAAAAATGTATTTTGTTCCTTCAACTATTAACACACAGGAATGTATATACCCACACATATATTAGGGATAACATGATGCAATACACCTCTTATATATTGGTGAGATTAAAATGAATATACCAAAAATATGCTGCATCATATCTTCTGCATAATACTCTTCATAAACTTCCACAGTATATATTTAAAAGTCTGTATATATTTGATCTACTACATAAAATCACTATTATCTTTTATATCAGTGACCTAAATCTGATCTTTTGTTGTTTTTTACTTTGTATTCATATTGTATTTTACTTCCCCAAGTTGTATGAATGTAAAACATTCCTTGTTTTAATAATAGGTTACAACTACAAACAGGGCTGTCCTTAATTTCCATGAGAAGTGTTATGCATATTAAGTTTTCAAGATAAATTGTAAAACATTTTGGTATTTTCCCCATGGGACCACAACTCCCTATGTCATCCTTTGTGAGGAGACAAACCCTGACTGAAATGTAATACTTGTTTTTCCAGTTCACGTCTATTGTGTGTTGTTTAAAAGTGGGGCATTATAAGAAACAGCTCCTCCAGTGCTGCTCACTATGACAAAGAAGATGGTGGATTGTGGGGATCTGATGTTAAATGGTTTGGGTAACCTGCCTTTTTTACTGCTTCTTGGAACAATTGGTAAGACATTTTCTACTTAAACAAAACATTTAAATTGTAGAAAATCAATTATACAACCATTTTAAATCATTGTTTTATAGTGCCGATAGACTATATGCGATATTGTAAAACCAATATATATGTTTTCATCTTGTATATTATGTTAATATATTTGCATTGTTTTTTAATGATGATAACCAATATTGTAATCAAAGATGTTCTTCAAGTGCAACTATGACCATAAAGTGGTAAATACAAATCACAGGACTGTTGACGAGTTGCATTTTGAAAAGGGACAGTTATCAATACCCCCTAATAACTGCCAACCACTTAGCTATATGGTCAAACCCAGTGTTAATGTGTTAATAGGAAAGTTGTTCTTAAAACATAAATCACAGAAAATAAATGGGAAGAAAATGTGGGAACGTCATTTTTATGGCACTACAATTTCTTGACTGCAGAGACTGGGAAAATATCATATCATCCGAATGTGTGTGTTTATCATATAGGGCATGCAGGCTTTTTGTCCTTTAAGAAAACTACTAGCCATAACAAAAAAACGAAGTACCTTCAATGCTATATTCTTCCTATCTGTGTGAAGCTTTTCAAATCTCTTTTGTTTAATGCATGACAGTTTACAATGAATATCAGTACAAGTATAGGATTAGCGAGGCTTTTTAAACTCCAAACATATATCTCAGGTTCTTTGGGGGAATCTGGGCCAAGGAAAACAGCACCCACCAGGTCATCAGCAGATCAATCGCTCCCTCAGCATTTCTTCACTACAGGTTATCTTTCTTTACTGATTCCACCATCCATCCATCCATCTTCTCCCGCTTATCCGTGGTCGGGTCGCGGGGGTAGCAGTTCCAGCAGAGAGCCCCAAACTTTCTTTTCCCTGGCGACATCAACCAGCTCTGACTGGGGGATCCCAAGGCGCTCCCAGGCCAGCGAAGAGATATAATCCCTCCACCTGGTCCTAGGTCTACCCCTTGGTCTCTTCCCAGCTGGACGTGCCTGGAATACCTCCCTAGGCATCCTAACTAGGTGCCCGAACCACCTCAACTGGCTCCTTTCGACGCGAAGGAGGAGCGGCTCAACTCCGAGCGGCTCAACTCCGAGTCCCTCCCTGATGACCGAACTTCTCACCTTATCCCTAAGGGAGACACCAGCCACCCTGCGGAGAAAACCCATCTCGGCCGCTTGTATCCGCGATCTCGTTCTTTCGGTCATGACCCATCCTTCATGACCATAGGTGAGGGTAGGAACGAAAATGGCCCGGTAGACAGAGAGCTTTGCCTTCTGGCTCAGCTCCCTTTTCATCACAACGGTGCGGTAAAGCGGCTGCAGTACCGCTCCCGCTGCTCCGATTCTCCGGCCCATCTCACGCTCCATTGTTCCCTCACTCGAGAACAAGACCCCGAGATACTTGAACTCCTTCACTTGGGGGTAAGGACTCATTCCCTACTTGAAGTGGACAGTCCATCGGTTTCCTGCTGAGAACCATGGCCTCAGATTTGGAGGTGCTGATCCTCATCCCAGCCGCTTCACACTCGGTTGCGAACCGATCCAGTGAGTGCTGAAGGTCGCAGACCGATGAAGCCATTAGAACCACATCATCTGCAAAAAGCAGTGGTGCAATCCTTAGTCCACCGAACTGCAGACCCCCTCCCCCATGACTACGCCTCGAAATCCGATCCATGTATATTACAAACAGGATTGGTGACAAAGCGCAGCCCTGGCGGAGGCCAACCCTCACCGGAAATGGGTCCGACTTACTGCCGAGGACCCGGACACAGCTCTCGCTTTGGGAGTACAGAGATTGGATGGCCCTGAGTAGAGACCCCCTCACCCCATACTCCCGCAGCACCTCCCACAGTAACTCCCTGGGAACTCGGTCATACGCCTTCTCCAAGTCTACAAAACACATGTAGACCGGATAAGCGTACTCCCAGGCCCCCTCCAGGATCCTTGCGAGAGTAAAAAGCTGATCCGTCGTTCCACGACCAGGACGGAATCCGCATTGTTCCTCCTCAATCTGAGGTTCGACAATCGGCCTGACCCTCCTTTCGAGTACCTTAGAGTAAACTTTTCCGGGGAGGCTGAGTAGTGTGATGCCTCTGTAATTGGCACACACCCTCTGATCCCCCTTTTTAAAAAGGGGAACCACCACCCCGGTCGGCCACTCCTTCGGTACTGTTTCCGACTTCCACGCAACGTTGATGAGACGTGTCAACCATGACAGTCCCTCAACACCCAGAGCCTTCAGCATTTCCGGGCGGATCTCATCCACCCCCGGGGCTTTGCCACTGTGGAGTTGTTTGACGACCTCAGTGACCTCCCCCCGGGAGATTGGTGTTGATCCCCCGTCATACTCCAGCTCTGCCTCTAACATAGAGGGCGGAGTTGTCGGGTTCGGGAGTTCCTCAAAGTATTCCTTCCAACGCCCTAACACTCCATCAGTTGAGGTCAACAACGTCCCATCCTTACTGTACACAGCTTGGATGGTTCCCTGCTTCCCCCTCCTGAGGTGTCGGACAGTTTTCCAGAACAACTTTGGTGCCGCCCGAAAGTCCTTCTCCATGTCTTCTCCGAACTTCTCCCACACCCGCTGCTTTGCCTCGGCCACGGATGAGGCTGCTGCCCTTCGGGCCTGTCGGTACCTTGCAACTGCCTCGGGAGTCCCCCGGGATAACAAATCCCTGAAGGCCTCCTTCTTCAGTCGGACGGCTTCCCTGACCACCGGTGTCCACCAGGAGGTTCGAGGGTTACCGCCCCTTGAGGCACCTAGGACCTTGAGACCACAGCTCCCCGCCGCAGCTTCGGCAATAGAGGCTTTGAACACCAACCACTCTGGTTCAATGTCCCCAACCTCCACAGGAATGCCCGAAAAGCTCCGCCGGAGGTGTGAGTTGAAGGCCTCCTGAACTTGGGCCTCCTCCAGACGTTCCCAGTTCACCCGAACTACACGTTTGGGCTTACCAGGTCTATCCAGAGGCTTCCCCCGCCACTCGACCCAACTCACCACCAGATGGTGATCAGTTGACAACTCCGCCCCTCTCTTTACCCGAGTGTCCAAAACATACGGCCTCAGGTCCGATGATACGATAACGAAATCGATCATGGACCTTCTGCCTAGGGTGCTCTGGTACCACGTACACTTATGAGCATCCTTATGTTCGAACATGGTGTTTGTTATGGCCAATCCATGACTAGCACAGAAGTCCAGTAACAAACCACCACCCCGGTTCAGATCAGGGGGGCCGTTCCTCCCAATCACGCCCCTCCAAGTGTCTCCATCATTGCCCACATGTGCGTTGAAGTCTCCCAGCAAGATTAAAGAGTCCCCTTCAGAAGCCCCATACAGGACTCTTTCCAGGGTCTCCAAGAAGGCTGTATACTCTGAACTGCTGTTGGGTGCATAAGCACACACAACAGTCAGAGTTTTCCCCCCCATAACCCGCAGGCGTAGGGAGGCGACCCTCTCGTCCACTGGGGTAAACTCCAACAACGAAGCACCTAACCGGGGACTTGTGAGTATCCCCACACCCGCCCGGCGCCTTACACCTTGAGCAACTCCGGAGAAGAATAGAGTCCAACCCCTATCCAGAAGTAAGGTTCCAGAGCCGACGCTGTGCGTAGAGGTGAGCCCAACCAGATCCAACTGGTAACGCTCCACCTCCCGCACAAGCTCCGGCTCCTTCCCCCCCAGAGAGGTGACGTTCCACGTCCCCAAAGCCAGCTTCTGTCGCCCGGGTCTGGTCCGCCGAGACCCTCCGCTTTCACTGCCACCCTTCTGGCAGCGCACCCGACCCCATCGATGTTTCCCGTAGGTGGTGGGCCCGCGGGACGGAGAAGCGGAGGTGTTGCCCACGTTGCCTTTTCGGGCTGGGCCCGGCCGGGCTCCGTGGCAAGCCCGGCCACCAGACGCTCGCCGACGAGTCCTCCTTCTGGGCCTGGCTCCAGAAGGGGACCCCGGGCTTCCTCCGGGTCGGCTATCCTCACTTCTTGTGTCGTCTTTCATGAGGTCTTTTGAACCATCACACATATTATTCATTTTAAACTGTAACTATTAAACTCTGAATGTGATAATTAGGCTCAATGTCCTGTCTTTATGGTAATATATCCACAGTCATTCCAATGCTGACTCCAAATGACACCGACATGACAGAAAACAATGTCAGAAGAAGGAGAAGCTCTTCCTCGGCTGACACTGAAGACTCTGCTTTGCCTCTCAAGTTTCTGACTGCCACTCATCTTTCTGCTCTCAGACATCTGATTTCTGACGAGAAAATCACAGGTTGTGAGATTTTACCAAACCTCCTCACTCGACTCATAACAGCATGATGAGATAAGAAAATGTTATGTGTGAACTGAAGATGGATAGTGCTATTTTTAGATGATAACTGAGCAACGTCATCAGCATTGTTCATCATTTCAAAAGCAAAAACTTTACACTAGTGTTTATATTTCTTTAGCTAATATAAAATGTTTAGTCAATTGAGAGGCAGTATCTGTATATGAGCTCTAGTGATGATTACATATTTGACCAGCTGCACTTGTTAGTGAAACTAAATGATTAGTTCAAAACACTGCACTATTGTGAACTGCTGTATTACTTCTGGTGGTGGGGACAGATCCTGGCAACATTTTCAACCACAAGATGGCAGCAAAATAATATATATTTCATGTCTTCTACTGTTCAAAGTCTGATTATTTGTAATACTTTAAGTATTAGTTTTTTCCTCTAAAGTTATTTTGCCTGTGTGAAAGCCTATAATTAACAGACCCATCTTCATACTGTGTTTACAATGTTACAACATGTAGGAAAAAAAGTTGCAGGTCCATTGAAAAAAAACAATCAGAGAGAATGTTGTTGAACAGGTCTATACACTTTAAATATAGAAACTGTAGCCAAAAAGGAGAAAGAATTCAGAAGGAAGTTATTCTTAAAGGAAAATAAATTATATGGTGTGATAATGGTTCGAAGGCTTGTTTAAATGTTATAATTATAATACAATTCATTTGAAATTAATTTTGTTTGCAGTTCGTTTAGGTCTCCGTGTCTCTCTCACTGGTCCAGGGGAGCTTCTCGACCCTCAGCTCCTCCTTTCCATGAACAAAGAGGTCAGTAGGTTATCTAACACACATACAGTATAACTCTGTGGAGCCATAGAGATTAATTGTCTGCTTCAAATAGTTAAAACACAAATTATGATTTCAGTGAGAGCTGCTACAGATTTCCTTTACGGTAAAAAAACAAAGTTTTTATTTTTACATAAACGACGTGTTAGACACCCAAAGAAGCAGTTATTTTGTCAGTTAGTTGGACTTGCATGATAAAACAAGTGCACAACAAACAAAACGCCAAACTGATCAAAGTTCAGCCAGTCTGAAGGCCAGATACCAAAACCACTGCGTTGTCTTTGATCAGACATTCAGGTTTAACATGTATTAATCAGTAAACAATGAACCAATCCAGAAGTTGAAGTCGTTTCATTTTAGAAGTGAATACATTTCCATGCATGAGCTTCACATAGAGTGGCCTTTCGGCTAACAGAACCTTGTAATTAAAGAACAGGCATGTGTGGATTAAAGGATTAGTGTCTGGAGAACTCAACAAACTGCTGATGTGGGAGGTTTGAGGATGAGAGGCCTTTCTGGTGTTAAGAAGTCAGGCATAGCTGAAAACCATTTTAACAATTGAGTAGAAAAAAGCAGGTTAGACAAGAAACTATTGTGTTAAAGGTGTTGCTTACAACCGCCCTCTCTTTGTTTCTTCTTTTTGTTTCTTTCTTTTTTTTGAGAAGCCAGGAATCTACAACATTGGAGAGAAGGCAGGACTATTTTCAATGAGAATAGTGGGAATAAAGAGAGTGACCTTCGCACCATGATTGTATCACCCACAGTCCACCACCTCTGTTCCCACAATCACTTGTATTATGTATGACAAATCGATTTACATTTTTTTTACATTTGTTCTTGAATCCCATGTTACTTTTGATATATCCTCAAGTTAAGTCAAGTGTGTACTGTCATTTGCACATTTAAAAAAAGTTGCTATTACTGTACAATACATTTCTTTCTTTGCCCTCCTCACTGCATGCAGTTGAAAATAAGTTACTAGAAAATAAATACAAGAAAATAAATACATAAAAACCGCTTATATGGTATTGTTTAATTTAAAATAACTGATACGTTTTCTATAACAGTTTACCTTCATTATCTCGAAACAAGCATGTGTGGGTGGCAAACATGGCAGTTGGTCCTGCCCACCAAACTGACCAGCCAATAGGAATCGACGCTGAGTCTCTATACCCACGCTTGTTGACCGTGTGCATGTTTGAGAGGCGGCAGTGACTGGCTTGACGGCTCGCTGTAAATAAAAGGGATTCGCGCCGACGTAATTCCGCTGGGATGGCAGATTTCCTGGAGGACACGACGCTGCCCGAGGAGGAGAGGGAGTTTAGGAAAACTATAGCTTTGATCGGAGGTAAAGAGAGGATTTATTTGGTCAGTGATACCGGTAAAAGTAAAGATGTGGACGGGGGTGACTCTGGAATATTGCAGGAGTTTATCAATGACATGTTTCACTACAGCAACGGGGAGTTCACAAACTCTCCTTCAGGCATGCACGGCGATACTGCAAGTATATACCCTGTTTGCGGAAAAACCGAGACTAAAAGCCATGAAATACCACTAAAAGCGAGGCCTATGGATTTGGATTCGGGAGCCTGTCCGGTGGTTGAGGACGTGGAGAAAGGAAATCCGACGCGCAATGGCACCGCTAAGAGAACAGCAACGAGGAGAGCAAACATTTACAGCCGAAAGCGAACTATAGACTCTCCTGTCATCATATTCGTCTTCAGACAGACATTTCTAAGCAAAAGTTCCAACGAATTGTACCTAAAAGAGACACTGAAGGACGTAAAGGCACGTACGAAACGTGCCAGAATCGCCAGACCAGCTCTGATTGGATTAATACGCACCGGAGAGGAGAGCGCCGAAACGCATCAGTGTGCGCAACTCCTGGAGAGTCTGATCCGCTCTGTGTTCCACAAACAGTCTCCAGAGACAATATGGGTCGGCTGTTTTATCCCTAAGACAGAGGCCAAAATCCTCAGCATCAAGAAAAACGCCTGCAAAGTCATATACTCATCCCAAACAGCAGGTGTAATAACATACATTATTTATAGCTTTTAAGCTATCAATCACATAGTGCATTATTATTTAAGTGTATAGTATTATGTACATCTGTTTTTGTCTTTTACCCAGACACGATTTTTGTATAGCTTGGGCACACGTCAGCAGAGATTTGTCAACATGAAGTTTGAACCGTGGTCTGTTTGACCAGGGCATAATGCCACTTTGATGAAGCATACAATTGCCAAAATGAAGAATAACCACAACAGTGTATACTTGACGCCTATTGTACAGATACCACACAAACCTGCCACTCATACAGCACTGAGACATAGTAATATATTTTACAAGTAAATCAGTTAATTAAGAGAACCATAGAAGTAACTAAAATAATATGTTATAGTGATATGGGTAACTTAAAGTTTAAACCTATGATAAGATAATTGGAAACTCATGAGCATTACACAGTGGAAGTTCCTGCGGGAAAATCTGGCAAACACTGCAGTGATTTGTGTTAGTGCACTCCACAATGTAGGTCAATCCACAACATTCACAAGACCAAACATTTATGCACAAATGTTTCTTCCCAGGCATGGCTACAAAGGCCGCGGAACAATGGGAGCATTCATGAAACAATCAGGCCCTTAGATAAGCTGCCAATTTGTTAAACGCTTATTATTGCCTTTCAGATAATACCAGGGATAGAGGGAACCCGCTTCTCTGGCCATTCCAATGTTTGTCCTGGGATCATAGGAGAGGCCAGGCCAACAACTCTTCAAACGGCAGGCAAAGAGGTAGCAGCATTGTCCCAAAGTCCAGTTTTAACCAAACTATACAGACATTTTATTTCCTAAGGATTTTTCAACTCTTTTCTTCATGTATTCTTTAAACCACCTTAGTCCTTTTCAGGGTTGCCAGGAAACTGGAGCCTAACCCAGATGGCACGAAATGGGCAAAAGGCATGGTTGCAGGTTGCCAGTCTATCACAAGGCCAACTCGTAGGCAATGACATTAGCAGATTCACTTTAATGGGCTTGTTTTTATCTCAGATTTCATGAAGTGATGATAAACAAGACAGATGTAATAGAAGAAGCAGATCTAACCAGTTAGCCTGCCAGAATAAGTCTAACCACAAAATATCATGTTCTGGATCTTACTCCACTGTCTGTCCATCTTTAAGTTGTAAAGTGCAACTGAAAAAAAATAGAAAGGTTAATTTTAGAAATTCAGGAAATCTCTGACAGGAAGCAACAGATAAGGCATGTTCAAATAAAACGGATTGACTCATTGAATGCATCAGCCATTAGATTGATCATACACACAAGAGTTTGTTAACCTGTCCCGCTGCAGCTAAATTGTATCATTTTAATTTCACATTAGTAACAATGTTTGCATTGTTTTTAGATCACACCGGAAGTAAAGAGGAGGGTATCCCTCTGAAAACCATTTCCCTGTCGGCTGGACCTCAAGTGGATGGAGGAGACAGCTGATGTCATGACATGTGACCTGCAGCTGCCAGCATATCACTGCAGACAATCATTCTGTCTTAACTTTCAAGAACCAGTTAGCCTCATCTGGTTAGAGAGCCCTATTACATGTAACACAGTTTATTCATAGTGTTTAATATTCACATCGCATCTAATCAAATGTTGGTAAATAGTCCAATCTGTTGTAATTTAGCAGATGTACACCTGATGCACAATGGTATTAACTTTCACATAATTTAACAAAACATTTTGAGGCCTAAATAGAGATGTGTCTGTTATTTTAAAACATTTAAACTGCAATATGGCTAAGTTACAGCAACAGTACTCTTTTAACATGATGCATAGTCAAGTACAGGGCTTGATTGCCAACTGGTCCCACAACTCTAATGCTCTTAAAAGGCCCATGTTTTTGTGTCATCTGGAATACACATTAACAAAGCACAACAGACATAAATAGGGCCTTTGTTGATGGGTCTTTTTTATTTGTATTTAACTTGGACGATCCAGCAGGTTAATCCCGCCACAGTTACAGTTGTGAATCTGTTCTTATTTTTTACATTCATTCATTTGAAATGTGTGCCTTAGATTATTGCTTTTCGCAATAGCATTATCTGCGTCTGGATGTAACTGCTTTTCACTCACTATGTATTTATGTAGGCTACTGGTCTGTACATTCAAATAAGTATGTAAATAAACAGATTTAATTTTGTGTCATTGTGACATTCATTGGCTATTCGTTCAGACTAAAAGGATATTAAGGGTTTCTGTTGGCAACTGAGAATAAACTGTACTGTCCTATATTTAGTAATATTACTGATATGTCCTATGTATGTGATTTCTTTGTAAGCTGAAAATCAATAAACATATTGATGAAAAAAATATATATATTACTGATATTAAAGCCCCCAACCCTTGATTTCCATTAACTTTATTTTGCAAATGCACAGTTTTCAACTTTATTATTTACAAATAATAATTATCATATATTTGGATTATACACATAAAAAAGATAAATGTCATGTATACAAGTTGGAATGTCATTTATCATAAGTGATAAATCTATCCAAAATATTCTTGACATGGCATGGAAAAAATGTGCTTTCGGACATGTGCAATATAAATATGATATAGCATTCCTCAATAGCAAAACATTGGTCAAAAACAAAACATAGCAATACAATAATTGATAGTTTACATAAATTAATGAAAAGTTAAATCGTATATTTTTAAATATACACAATTTATTTTACAGCCGATCCGGAGACATTTCAAATTACATACAGAAAACCATTATAAACCAAAACATGTTTTTGTTTTTTATAATACAAGAATACATTGTGTCATATTCTGTGTTTTTATCAGTGTGTGTCAGCTAATGTTAGCAGAGTTTTGACAAGGTATTATTCATTTTAAACCAAGTTGGTCAGGGTGCCTTATTTTTCTATTAACATGAATAAATGTGATATTTGTTCATGATGGCAAATGATTATCAGTTATGGAAAACAACTGATTCACGATAGGCCACCTTTAGAAAAGCCTGTCCATAAATGGGATCCTTTAAATAACTATGTTGCATAATAGCTTATTAATGTTTCGGATACTTTTAAAATACTATCATATCTTTAAGTTACTAACATAGAGTACTATAAATCAAACCGGCCTACGAAGACACAATGGATTATAATGTGTATTTTGTTTTTTTTAAATCAGGCGTAAAATAGGACAGCCAATCCTGAGGTCCTCGAGGAAGGGACTTGCGGCTTTAGACAAAAAGAAGGTAGCAGCGCTTGCGTTTGTTCCCACTGAAGTGCATTTCAACATACTACAAATCGTTTCTTCTCTTTATCTCCTCTTAAAAATCGCACGGAATTCAACCGTCGATACAGGATCGTGGGGCTGAGGAGGGAATAAAGAGCCAACATGATAACATCCGCAGGTAGGTCGTAGTAGAGTGTTTTTATTTTGCTAGCCGCATCTTGAGCTAGCTGCCATTGATTTAGCTGAGTCACACAGCTAATGTAGCATTTCTCAGTCAGCCGTTGACCGGTAAAGGCAAATATATCCAGCAAAATATATTTTCAGGAGGCAAGAACCCTTAGTAATGTGTCTGTGGTATAAATTTGAGTATATTGTAATCGCTGCACGGCTGTTTTAAATATAGGAAGGTGTACTTGGTTGATGAAACGTCAATGCTAATGACAAGTCATAACTGCACTAGCATGTTGGCTGTTTAGCTTCGAAAACAAGGTGATCAAGTTCATTTGTATACATGTACGGAAATGTTTTTATGTATCTTGGAATCAATCCTCAAATAAACACTTGGTGAAATAATAACACCCTCAATTTATTTTACATTAAAGTGTAATTGTGCAAAACGGACTCCGATTTCAACATCGACCCTTTTCTTTTCAGTTGTTCTATTTGTTTTTTGCATTTGACTTTATCAGCTGTTGATATAAAATATCCTAACATAACATTTTAATATGTGTTACTACCAGTATTTTTGATATTGCCTTTTCAACGCGTACATGTGTGATCTATGTCTGACGATTATGGGCAACTACTTTGTCTGTCATTTAGGTGTTATATGTTTTATTTAAAGCTTTTTGTTTTACTGACTACATATATTGTGTATATTTTAAAAGTGAAAGAATATGAACTCTAAAGTAACAAGCAACCAATTTTGTTTCTCTCTTTTTTTAAAGCTGGAATTATATCACTCCTTGATGAGGAGGAGCCTCAGCTCAAGGTAAGAACTCTTTTACAGGACATAAGATGTCATTTAATTGTATCAACTTCCATACAGGCGTGATGTTATATCATATCAAGTCAAACATCTTCAGGCTATCTTCTGTCTGCTTGACCACTCACATTTTATATTCATGTTTTTTGTCAGCTTTTTGAAATGATTCACTTGTTTTTCACATACAAATGTAGTTCAGTGTAGTTGTGCAAAACAGCTTTAGATTGACCTATGACCCAGTTATTTTCCATGGTTGTTTTTGCTGCGTTAGCTTGCAAAAATACATTTTTTCCCGTCAACCTCATGCTATTCTTCATGGGCCCAAACTATGTAACACTTTGAAACTATGCTCATAAGAATAATATTGCAGTTTCACAAAAGTAAACAACATAGTTATGTTTTGTTTATAATGTATATTCATCATATCTGTCTTTTACTTGCAGGAGTTTGCACTGCAGAAGCTCAATGCCATTGTAAATGACTTCTGGGCAGAGATTTCTGGATCCGTAGATAAAATGTAAGTACTATGCTAGACTATAAGAGCTTGACCGCTTTATGACATACAAAATGTACATTAGACAGCACTTACTTTAAGTATTGACACACTCGATGTAAAGACCAAATATAGCAGTGCAATGTGCCCAATAATCGCATGTCGCATGCAGAATATTCTTCCAGCCTGTATGATTGAGTAGCACAGTTTTATAAAGCACATATCTGCAACCTCTCATTTCTGCTGCTCACAATTGCTCTGTTGGACGGAACAATTTCATTTAGATGCAAACATCTACATTCAGTAGTTAAGCATCAAGATGTCTTTGAGGTCAACTTTTTCTTCATCACATTTTTGCTCTATGTAAACAGCGAGGTCCTGTATGAAGATGAGACGTTTCGCAGCAGAGCGTTTGCTGCTCTGGTGGCCTCTAAGGTTTTCTACCACCTCGGAGCCTTTGAGGAATCTCTGAACTACGCTCTCGGTGCTGGAGATCTCTTCAATGTGACTGATGATTCAGAATATGTGGAGACCATCATTGGTAAGTGTTTAATCAAAAGTACTTCACCTAATTCAGCTTATATATCAACCAGTGCTTTCTTAGGCTAAAAGCCATTGAATTACGGATGGAATAACATTTCGATCTGAACTACGTCGATGAGTTCAGTAGAAAACTGGTCCCCTCTTTTCATCCTTTTTTTTGTGTTTGCTACTAGCCAAATGCATCGACCACTACACCAAGCTGCGGGTGGAGAATGCTGAGATGCCAGAGGAGGAGGAGAAGAAAAGCATCGACCCCCGCCTTGAGGGCATTGTCAACAAGATGTTCCTGCGTTGCCTAGACGATCACAAGTACAAGCAGGCCATTGGCATCGCCCTGGAGACCAGACGGCTTGACATGTTTGAAAAGACCATCTTGGAATCGGTCAGTTATTGCTTTTACTGCTAGTTTGAAATATCAGATAGATTTAGTAATAACCAAAAGTCTAGCATACCTTGATAATACAGAAATGACAGGATTCACTTTATTCAAATACAGTAAACCTTTTTTTTTTTTTTAACAGTACAGGACTCATACAATCATAGTTCTCACAAAACATTTTCTAAATGAGTTACTATTGTACAGAATAATGTATTTCTTCTCATGAAACAAGTTATTAATTGTTACTTTTTTCTCTTCTCATGCAGACTGATGTGAGTGGTCTCCTCGCCTACAGCCTGAAGGTGTGCATGTCCCTGATGCAGAACAAGAAGTTCCGTAACGAGGTGCTGCGGGTGCTGGTCAAGCTCTACATGAACTTGGAGAAGCCTGATTTCATCAATGTCTGTCAGGTAACGATCAGATCCTAAAAACTTTATGCATCATCTCCCTGAATAATTCCTTAGTGTAACAGATATATGCAGTAAGTTCTTGATTAGACAGATTGTTTCCAATAAGGTATGTTCCGTCATTATTTAGTTTAAGATTTCTGATAAATTGAGTAATCCTGATCACAAACCTTCATTGGAAAGGATACTTTTTAGGATACAGTTTCATTGTGGTTTTAGAATTTGCAATTATCAATATGTTGTAATTCCATAAACTGTCAGAACCTTAAAATTCATCTCTAATCATTTGTTCTCCTCCCCTCTCTAGTGCCTGATATTCCTGGATGACCCTCAGGCTGTGAGTGACATCCTGGAGAAGCTAGTGAAGGAGGACAACCTGCTGATGGCCTATCAGATCTGCTTTGACCTGTATGAGAGCGCCAGCCAGCAGTTCCTCTCCTCCGTCATCCAGAACCTGCGCACAGTTGGAACCCCTATCCCTGCAGTCCCTGGCTCCACAAACACAGGCACTGTGCCCACACCAGACAAAGACAGGTGGGCAGGAGAATAAAACACACACATATACCTAGGCTGAAGCTAGGCCAATTACAGTTCATATGTGGGATCTGATAGGCAATTAACTGAAACTGTAAACTGTAGACTTTTTTGGGCTAAATTAGTCACTAAAAATGTGTTTGTTTTTTACAGTGATGCAATGGAGACAGATGACAAGGCAGGCAGCTCACCTGCTGGAAAGCCGGTAGAAACGGTATGGTCGTTTTTAGATCGTTTTGTACTGCAGCGGTTTTTTCATACCGTGTCCTTGTAATTTTGCTGTATCTGAATTGAGCAACTGTATTCCATGTAAAACTTTGATTGAGTTGACAAGATCATTATATTGCTTCATTTCTTTTTGTAGAAAGATGATCCCAAAGACCAAAACGCCAAGATGATCAAAATCCTTAGCGGGGAGATGGCCATTGAGCTTCACTTGCAGTTCCTCATCCGAAATAACAACACAGATCTAATGATCCTCAAAAACACAAAGGTAATGTAGCTAACAACAAGATAAATGGCTCACAGAAGACAAATGATTATACTATTGTTTACACGATCAGATGAACTTCAGCTTTAGTTGGCTTTAATTCTTGTTTTCTCCGTCACTCTAGGATGCGGTCCGAAATTCGGTGTGCCACACAGCCACAGTAATAGCCAACTCTTTCATGCACACGGGAACCACAAGTGACCAGTTCCTCAGGTAATTTGGCTGGCAGCATATAATTGTATATTTCGTAGATTACACAACGACATGGAAAAACCTATTTACCCTAAGCA